ACAAGGCAAAAGGGAGGGGGAGAAGTTAGCTCCAACCAACCAAAAGGGGAGCAGGGATCAGGCAAGTAAAAATCATTTACACAATACCTCTAGACATAAATGAGCAGTTAACCCTTGTAGTGTGGGGGTAGCCCCACTGCAAGGATAGTTTATTTCCTGTCTGCTCCATGGCAGCACACGAATGGGTTAATCCCTCCCCTCCCTCCTCCCCCTAATCAGGATTGTAACTCATAAAAGCTGAAAGAGTCCCCTGGCTTGCCGTTCCTTTTTTTCCTCCTACATGCCAGGATCAGAGCAGTGTGCCTACCTAGCAGGGATAAAATCCTTGCTGTCCGCCTTCTTCTTCTACCTCCTTCAGTTCGCGAAGTCCCTGTGAGCCCTTTCCTAAATGGTACAGGTCCATGGGAGCCCCGCTGGTGATCCTCGGGGCCTGGCTAACAAGGTGTAAGTACACTGCTGTTGCTCATTATGGGTGGAGGAGATATTCCTACTTGGTCGGGGCACCTAAAGTTGCCCATACACCTTACAATTATCTGGAGATTTTTTGTCTTTCAGCAGAAAACGTTTGTCTATTTGGATGTAAATTGACAGGTTAATGGCGTGGTTGTACAATAAAAATCTCTAGATGCAAACTGCACATGCTCAAACAAAAGTTTGTCCTTTTGATCAATGTAAATCGGCTAGGTGGTGATGCTGACAAGCGTTATTTGCGAACTGCATTGGTCTGTGCATGATGGGTTAGTTGTAAGAAAATTGTATGAAGGTGAAATGTCTGCACTATCAAAGTTGTACAATGGTTGTAAGTTGTATGGCCACCTTTACATATGTGATTCTGTGGTGCTGCTCATGCCTAAGCTGACTCTTGCAGGTAATTACCTGAAACACCCATTAGCTTGCTTTCAGGTGCTTTTAACCCTGCAGGTGCAGGCTGCTGCCACTTGTAGCTCTGCTACTAAATCTTTTAACTGGATCTTACAGAAAGGTGTTTGCTTACTCTGTCAGCTTCATCTTGTGCCCTAAACTCTTGGGTGCTTTCTTGTGAGTATTTTGCTGTCACCTGTGGTTCCCCAGCTTTGGTAATGTTTAAAATGTAACTTATGGAGTTGTTGCTTCATTGCAGGCCTATTCTGCCTGTGATTCGGTATTCTTTCTTGTGTATTTCTATGTATTGTGTTAGTGACAAGAGCCTGTGGTGCCATAACCTGTGTGGAGCCAGTGTTTGTGGCTCCTTGTTGTGCTGTCTGGGGCTCCCAGCGGCGGTGTTGAAACACACGCTGTGCATTCCACTGATGTTATTTCCGCCGCCGGGGAGCTTCCGGCCTCTGCATTGTAAGACTTGCGGCGGCAGGTGGAACGCACGCTATGCGTTCCACCCAGGCACTTCTGCCGCTGGACGAGCTACACTCGGGAATACCGCCAAGGAGGTTAAGGATGTCTTGGACAGATGGGCAGATTTGGATCTTAAAAAGATCTATCTCTTGGCCGCTGGGGCTTGCAAACCTGCAGTTGCTATGGCAGTACCTTCCAAGGCCCTTGAGGCTTGGGTGGGCAGCGCTGAAGCAGCAGTTTCAGAGGATCTTAGTAAATCTGAGATCTTAGACCGCTTAAAGAATATCAGATTGTCTTCTACATTCTGCACCGAGGTTCGATCGATGTTAAATTTTAGCCAGAGTTTTGTTGGCCGCAGTGGCGGGCAGAAGGGCTCTGTGGCTCAGACCGTGGGTGGCGGATCCCACATCCAAGCAGGGATGTTGTAATTCCATTTGAGGGTCAGTTGCTACTCTGCAACAAACTAGACACCGCAACAGCTAAGGCCACTGAAGGTAAGGCATACGGTGCAGTCTCTCATCCCCAGAAGAGGTTCCGGGCGCAAAGCTGTGCAATCCCGGGTGCCCTATCTCACCATCTACTGTTAGTGTCTCATTGTCTTCAGATTGTCAGGTCCATGATGTCATCGATTCCTGCAGTCCAGTGGGCCCAATGGCGAACTTGTTTCTTTCTGACCGGGTTCTTGCGGCAGTGGAAGCCGGAAAGTCTCGACCACCTCATTTGGATCTCTCCCCAATGCGGAGCAGCCTGGGGTGATTGTTCATGGACTGCAACTGACTAGGCTGTCAGTCTCTCCTCCTTACCACGTGGACCGTGAATTCCTCAGATGCAAGAGAATGGGGTTGGGGTGCCGTCTGTCTGAGCGAGGGTGCGCAGGGTCACTAGTTCTTTCCTGCAGTAGGGGTTTGTCTCCAATGTCCTGGAGCGGAGGGCAGTGTTTCAGGCGCTATTGGCCTTCCAGCTATTTATCCTGGGGAAGTCAGTTCTGATGAAAATCGACAATACCTCAGCGGTGGCTTGTATCAGGAGACAAGGGGGTGCACGCAGTCATGCCCTGCTGAAAGAAGTCTCTCCTATTATTACCTGGGCTCAGATCCATCTTCACTTATCGGCAGTGTACGTGTCGGGTCCCCTCAATCACCAAGCAGATTTTCCAGAGTTCCTCTGGGCAACGACGAGTGGTGTCTCCTCGATCAAGTATTTCAGGACACGGTGTCCTGGGGCTTAGCTCCGGAAGTAGACCTATTTTTGTCCCGAACAAACACCAAAGTCATGAAGTTTTCTTGAAGTTTCCATGTGCACAAGCGACCGAAGCCCTGACAGCAGAGTGGACATTCGGACTGCTTGCGCCTTCCCGCCAGTGCCTTTTTCCTACTACAATTTCTGAGGAGACTCCGGAGAGAATAGGTGGCTGTCCTGGCAGTGATTCCGAACCGGCCCAAGGGGCCTTGGTATCCTCTCCTCCACCTGATGGGTATCCAGCCTCCACTATTCCTACCGCCATTGCCCGATCTTCTTTCAAGGTCCGATCCTTCACCCGGCACCTGTGAAACTTTGCCTAGCAGCATGGATGTTGACTTCTCACATTGGGTTGCTCAGATAGGGCAACCCAATGTGAGAAGTCTCCGCCTCTAGTTGCTATCACCTCCACCAGACGGGTTTTGGAGTTGGCCGCTCTTGAGTTTAAAAAACACTTCTCCACTTTCCTGGCAGATGGAGTGATTCTAGTTCCCATGCTGAGATTCATTCCCAAGGTTGTGACTGACTTTCACATACACCAAGAAATTATATTACCAACCTTCAAGTCAGATGATGGGAGCCAGATTAGCCGCTTGGACGTAGGTAATACCCTAAAGGCGTATATTTTGGCCACGGAAGGGCTCAGGTCTACGGGTCATCTCTATCGTTACAGCAGGTGCCAGGAAGGATGCTACAGCATCCAGTAGGCTCATAGCATCCTGGATAGAGAAGGCGATATCATTAGCATATTAAGCCGAGCACATAACTGTCACAAGTGGGGTGTCTGCTCATTCCCCTAGGAGTCTGGCCACATCATGGGCTGCACCCAATTGTGTTTCCTTAGAGACTGTGTGTAAAGCGGCCACATGGTCTTCTCCGCACACGTTCATGACACACTACTGTGTTGATCCAGCTGCCTTAACTAAAGTTGAAGTCGGCCGTAGAGTTATTTCTTCTACCATGAGTTGTGATTAAAAAAATGTCAAGCATACCCACCCCTGTTTTTTCTAGTTAATTCCCATTCGTGTGCTGCCATGGAGCTGACAGGAAAACAGGAAAATTGTATTTCCTACTTACCGTAATTTTCCTTTCCTGTCCAGATCCATGGCAGCACAAGGCCCACCCGTATAGTAGTCGAGTTAGGTAACGGCAAGCCAGGGGACTCTTTCAGCTTTTATGAGTTACGATCCTGATTAGGGGGAGGAGGGAGGGATTAACCCATTCGTGTGCTGCCATGGAGCTGGACAGGAAAGGAAAATTACAGTAAGTATGAAATACAATTTTCCTGTTTTTTTTACCTGGAGATAGGCTTTAAAGTTATACAATGATTTCTTTGATTTTCATGTAATCATTTCCTAAATTTCTTTAAAAGCATACACATGTCTGTAAATCTGCCCCATTTTCAATTTTTGTTGTAACATTTTAACAAAGCTGAAGAAATAATAGGAGCATTCTATGGCCTTTTCAAGTAAAACTCTCAGGTAAAAAAGTTACCAAAATAAGACAATTACCAAAGTGCAGCCAGAGATGCAGGTGCGTATTTCATGTGCAAAAGAATGATGTCAAAAACTGCAGTAAATGTTCTATCAGAAACTCTCACACGCACATATATATATATATATATATATATATATATATATATATATATATATATATATATATATATATATATATATATATATATATATATATATATATATATATATATATATATATATATATATATATATATATATATATATATATATATATATATATATATATATATATATATATATATATATATATATATATATATATATATATATATATATATATATATATATATATATATATATATATATATATATATATATATATATATATATATATATATATATATATATATATATATATATATATATATATATATATATATATATATATATATATATATATATATATATATATATATATATATATATATATATATATATATATATATATATATATATATATATATATATATATATATATATATATATATATATATATATATATATATATATATATATATATATATATATATATATATATATATATATATATATATATATATATATATATATATATATATATATATATATATATATATATATATATATATATATATATATATATATATATATATATATATATATATATATATATATATATATATATATATATATATATATATATATATATATATATATATATATATATATATATATATATATATATATATATATATATATATATATATATATATATATATATATATATATATATATATATATATATATATATATATATATATATATATATATATATATATATATATATATATATATATATATATATATATATATATATATATATATATATATATATATATATATATATATATATATATATATATATATATATATATATATATATATATATATATATATATATATATATATATATATATATATATATATATATATATATATATATATATATATATATATATATATATATATATATATATATATATATATATATATATATATATATATATATATATATATATATATATATATATATATATATATATATATATATATATATATATATATATATATATATATATATATATATATATATATATATATATATATATATATATATATATATATATATATATATATATATATATATATATATATATATATATATATATATATATATATATATATATATATATATATATATATATATATATATATATATATATATATATATATATATATATATATATATATATATATATATATATATATATATATATATATATATATATATATATATATATATATATATATATATATATATATATATATATATATATATATATATATATATATATATATATATATATATATATATATATATATATATATATATATATATATATATATATATATATATATATATATATATATATATATATATATATATATATATATATATATATATATATATATATATATATATATATATATATATATATATATATATATATATATATATATATATATATATATATATATATATATATATATATATATATATATATATATATATATATATATATATATATATATATATATATATATATATATATATATATATATATATATATATATATATATATATATATATATATATATATATATATATATATATATATATATATATATATATATATATATATATATATATATATATATATATATATATATATATATATATATATATATATATATATATATATATATATATATATATATATATATATGTATATATATATATATGTATATGTACACACACACACACACACCTGTTTTGTCATCAATTAATGTTTCTAAAATGTCAAAGGCACAGTGACAACATTCACAGATCCTTATCCAGTGTTCTTATAAATGAACTCATAACTGGAATAGGCCAGGTTTTTGTGATCATGTAACTCTCTCTGTTATAACATTCACATTGTTTTATCATCAGAACACATGTGTGAACATTTTATTTGTGTTACAGGGACAAGCTGGACCAAGAGGCCCCCAGGGTGCACCTGGAAACCAGGTAAGAAAAATGAAGTTACATATTTTACATTACATTTGTTTCTTTTTAATCTTGGAAATATAGTAAAATGCGAAAAAGAACAATCCATTTAAATGATCCCATAGTATATATTACCAAAATACAACAGCGCATTCATTATTTGTTTTTCGAGATTTAAATTTCTAACTAGGGCCTATGAAAAATAGTGCCTGCAATGGGAATATATTGTCCAGTGTTGGAAGTGTATACCAAGCCAAAACCTTTTTTTTTTTAAATTTAGAGTAGAGAAGGGTTAGGACGCCTGTTGGGTTTTTACTGCACTGTTCACACCAAAGTGGCATAGTTTTTGCACAGGTCAGCATGGTTTTTATTTGCACTTTGGCACATTTTGTGCAACATGCTTCTGCCACGCGTTTCCTGGCATTTTCATTGAAGTTCATGGGGGGGAAATGAGTTGTAAACTGCCAAAAAAAGCTCATGTACTTTTTTCTGCCTTTGGCTTTTTGCTGCTGGCGTTTTGCTGTTCAGGTTTGAAGAAGGACCATTGAAAATCATGGGATTTCTTTTATTGGGTGTTTTAAAGCGCTTTTTCTACTGCTCAAAAACACCTAGGTGTGAACCAGGCCTTACAGAGGTTTTACTTCACTTTCTGTCCTGCCGACAACGGTTTTACCAGACAGGTACTGAGGGTGAATCTGAAACAGAGACACAGAAACTTCACATACTCTATGAAAAAAAAAAAATCTATTTTTGTATGTTTGACAAGAATTGTGGGGAAATCTCTAATGGAACCCTGAAAAATACCAAATACCTAACAGGTGTCCTAACCCTTCCCAGCCTTATCCAAAAATAAGAACCAATATGTTGGCTTGACATACATTATAACTTAAACTAAACTCAGACTCTTTATCATAAACTTTGTTGACACAGTGTCATAGCATATATTCAAACAAGTAACCTGTAACATGAATAAAGGTGTATCCAATGGGTGCTCTTGTTCTTGACTACCTGCAAGCAATGTGCCGCTGAAAAACACCCATTAATCTGGCCAAAGGGTCTGACATTGATTTTAGGGGGAACCCCACATCAGGTTTTTTACCAGCCCGCAAATTTGAATTGTATTTTTTTCTTAGTCAATTACACTTTTATTTGTGTACATTCAGCAGATTTGGCACTTCACAGGAAGGTTGAAGGCATCCCCTATGCATGTTATTTAAAGCAATTTTGCAATTTTAACGTTACCCTTTAAGCATTACAAGAGCTGTTCACCATCAAACAGAATTTAAACTTTTTTTTGCATTGGTAAATGTCTTCAATGGCAGTGCAGAGCTGCATGCCCTTTGTTTGGCAATCCCTGGCTAATTTACCTCCAAAATAGCCAGAATTGATTTTGAAGATTTGGCTCCCACTGACCAGTGGGGTTCGTATAAACATTCAGAATTTAGGAGGAGTTTGGTGAACCTCCCTTGAATGGTATGTTCAGCTCATCCTTAGTCCCTACACGTGTATAGGTGTGACAACTCCCTGCCGCCCCACTGCTTCTGTGGGGATCAAGCAAACAAACAGGTTACAAGATATACCTACATAGTGCATTTTAAATGGTGCAACGTCTTACCCTGTAAAATGCAGAAACCTGACTGATGAAGTGTTTGAGTAATGCTGAACTCCCTCTCTATGAATTATATAACATGTATTTGCATTATTCTATTTTCTAGGGTGGCATGGGTCCCTCGGGTTCTCCTGGAGAAGCAGGTGAACCAGGTGGTATGGTAAGTAATTGCATTGTACACATTCTGATGTCCAGCCAGTAGGTCAGCGTTATAAAAAATAATTACTCATAATTATAAAATAATTACTATTTAGTAGGGCATATAATATTTTTCTTTAAGTAAACCTCAATCCTGGTATAAATCTCAAGCCTGTGAAATTCATCATATGATAAAATCACACACGCAGAGTAAAAAAAGCATGTCAAAACGTGAGGAACCCCAGGAAGATATAACAAAGTTACATAGTTACATAGTATTTGAGGTTGAATAAAGACACAGGTCCATCAAGTTCAACCTTGATGGACCTGTGTCTTTGTTGGGAGTGCATGTGTATATGATGCATAACAGTTATCAAAAATTAATTTAGTTATATATTCATAAAAATCCATTCATAAATTCATAAAACAGTGAACCTTGAGTGCAACTAGTACATACATTTGATTTGGTATCAGCCTCTTGTAAAACTATGTACAGCACTGGGAATGGGCAGATCTAGTAGCCAATAAAGTGATCTGTGTGCTGACATGGTACATACTGACAAGTGGAGAGTGCAGAGTGAGCAGAAGACTGGGCTAGTCAGTGTTCCGCTGCTGCCCTCACTGTCTTAAAATGGGCTGGTTGCAGATGAGTGACCAAGCTTTTATGCACTAGAGAAACGTCACCTAACTGTGCTGTGTTGTAGGATTTCTCAGGGAAATTTCAGGATTGATTGGATAGAAATACAAATTCTATGGCAAGAAAATGTGGATCCATAACTCAACTATATCCTGTTTGGCAGGAGTCCAGCTTTCTGATATATTGCTATCCGCTGATCCTAGTTTTGAGCAGATTGCCAGTTGAATCCATTTTTCTGGGTATATATAATTTAAAAATATAATTTCTGTATTTCCAGCATCTATTGTATGGGTATGTTCCTTTCTTTTTAAGACCAGCATAGCTAGCTACTAAAAATGAATAACTGTTTTTCTATTTTTAGGGTCCAACAGGTCCACGTGGCCCTGAAGGTCCTCCTGGAAAACCAGGCGAAGATGTAAGTTTCTTTAAAAAATGCCTATATTTATACCATCATGATATTTATTAAAATGTAGCTTATTTGTGTATCACTCAGCTGTAGATCCTCAAATCAACTCCGAATTCCATCTGACACTGCCCTGCCTCCTGGAGGGTGGATACGTTTGTTCCCCATGGTCCCTTCATGTGTTTTAAAGTAGCCACCGCTCCAACCTCACTCCTGTGATTCTCGCTCTGTCTATCACGTGAGTGAGCTCATGGCTGGATTTGCTCTCTCTGCCGCCCCAAGGCCAGGTTGCTTAATGACGGCTTCTCTGCTCTACATTTAGCCCTGCTTGCCTGAAGAAGGGCTAAATGTAGAAAAAAACTTCCCACTAGGCAGCTGTGCCGCCCCTCTACTCCCTGCTGCCCTAATGCCAGGGCTTGGTGGCCTTGTGGGAATTTTGGCCCTGAGTGAGCTTGAAGTGGTGGCTACTTTACAACACACACAGGGACCATGGGGAACAAAAGTAGCCACCCACCAGAAGAAAGGACAGTGTCAGCATGAATTCAGAGATGATTTAGGGATCTACAGCCCATTGATACACAAATAAGATACATTTTTGTTAATAGTTGAAGTACTTGAATGCATTTTTAAGGTTTAACTCCTAAATTTAGTGTCACTTTAAGCTTCCAGACACACTACAGAAGCCAGATGCACAGGTACATCATATTTGTGTACAGGTGCAACAATGATTCACAGTTAACAAATTAACTTATTGCTACCCAAACACTACAATGTGATTAATTGGCAAAGGTTAAATTCTTGACTTATTATTTTGGAGCTCTGAAATATTATATTGAAATCAACAAATCAGAATAGCATTTTGACTTTAATGGACTATAAAAATCCGCTTAACTCTAATTTTGATATTATTTCAAAATTCTGACTTATTTTCTTAGAGTTCTGAGATATATTCTCAGAATTCTGTTTCTTTTTAGTTGGCCTAGAGTTGTTATATACTCAGTCATCCTTAGCTTTGCAACTGAAATTTCAAATCAGTTTTGGGCTGAGTAAACCAGTGTTAGCCAAAGGGAAGCAGAGATAAGTTATGTCTGTTCATAGCTACAAAACCAAGCTTTGGCTATTTGCGATTCCAGGAGCTTTTCAATTTTATGTACCTGGATTTTCACTAAGCTTAGTAAATGGTGTTCACTGGTATTATCTAATCACGTGCAAAGAAAATTTGAAAGATGGATATTCATTAAGGGAATGTTAACTGCAAATAAAAAAAATCACTGTTCATTATATGTAAAACCTCCATTTATAGTCTTCTATACTGCCATGCCAATTTCCAGTGTAGGATGGAATCAGGAGAAAGACACTAATGAATGAGGCCAGGTGATAGTTATTAAACCATCTACAATGACAATACATTCAAATCATCCTAAGTTATAAACATTGCCCATTCCAAATAGGGTAAGTGAAAAACCTGGCATGGCTTCACGTTAGGAGCAGTTATTACCTACGTTTGCTAAAAATGAATGGATTCATTAATAACAGAGAGTGGATATCTCTATCTGCTCTTCATTATGTTTCACTGGATTATGCAAACTGCGGATCACATTTAATATAATGTGAGTGACACTGTGTAGCCTATTTACCCTGGAGCTCTCTCTAATTAAAGATGAATACCTGGCTCCCCCCCATGGGAACTAATGGATATTCATTAAGGGAATGTTAACTGCAAATAAAAAAAATCACTGTTCATTATATGTAAAACCTCCAAACCTCCAAACACCTTATTTTGTGCCTGGGAAGTGGGATCCTTCATGTTCATGTTCATTTCTCTATGTGTGGGACATAGACACTTTTCCTCAGTTGATTGCTTATCAATATTAACATTAACAAAAATCTGCTGTGCAGCACTCTGATATTGCTGCACATATGAAAGGTTCACTTTAAGCTTACTATTGACATATGAAAGAATAGCATAGATTATCCACATGTGACAGAATAAGACAGATTATGCACGTGTGACAGAATAAATGATGCAGAAGTGACAAAATACAATATATTATGTAGGGATGCACCAATACCAAGTACCGTACTCGGCACAAGTACAAGTAAAGATACTTTTCCAGCTCCAAGACTAGACTAGAGATAAATCCAAAAGTTAGGAGGCAGCTGTCATTTGTAAGGAGCACTCGGAGCTCCTGATATTTGTACATCTCTGTTTTAATGTATGATTTGCTTTTATAAATAAAGGGATGCACATATACCAGTTTTGCGAGTACAAGTACTGCTACTTCCCCAAGTACTTACAAGTACAAGTACTGATACATTTTTGTTTATTGTCATGTGACAGTTTTTCTAAAACAATACAGACTAATGATTTCAGGACAGCGGTGGAGCGCCAGAGCCAGGCCCCAGCTGCAACCGCTGCAACCCTGGTAGTTCTCATGAAAATGCCAAGTATCGGCACTGGTACTCGAAAAGTATCGGTGCATCGCTAATATTATGCATATGTGACTGAAAAGCATAGGCTATGCACATGTAATCCAATAGGTTGAATTAAGCATTTCATAAACTTCATAGTCATTTAAAAAGTCAAGAAAGACTGCAAACAGAATATTAACATCATTGTAAAGGTTAAAATGCTCCACGGGCAGATTTATGAAAGGACAGAAAGTACTTCCTGTATTATTCTTTTATGCAGAATGCATTAAATATGGCTATCCCTATGAGACTATAGTATATTTTTCACTGCCTTTTTTATTTATCATTGCATTATTTTATTTCCAGAACAAACAAAACAGTGGAATCTTTTGGGATACTGATAGTAGCTTTAATAATACTACAGAATAACATTTATTTTGTTCATGTGATTTAAGTCACTCATATACTTAGAGGTTCTTTCATTAAGCTGCCAAAGGCAGCCGAGTGAATAAATGAACCGAAGTGAAGTGAGCCGAACACCGTTTGGCTATTCACTTTGGTCAGCCGCACAGCGGCCAAAATCAGCCATAAATCGGCTGGCTTCGGTCAGCTGAACGTGCCCATCACGTTAAGGGATACCTTTTGATATCTACTTGTAATAAACTATTGAAGAATGTAAGAGAAGCATGTTGTTAATCACTAAGCCCAACCAAAACATTTAAGGATACATGGCTAGCTGATGTTAAACCTGTTTTCTCTTTAAATGTCTAATCTTGTTCAAGAGAACATATTAAACACAGCTATACTTCACTGCACTGTATTTTACATAGGTTTACACTTAAGGCATAACTCCAGTCAAATAGTTTTTGCAGTTTTGGATAAAGCAGAGAAGGGGACAACCTCTGTCAGATCTTTATTGTTATCAGAGGCTTTTTTAGGGGAAATGCTCCAGTTGAGACACAGATTGCAGTAAATAGCTGAAGATGGTTCTAGATGTCCCCTTCTTAACTAGAAAGGGGGTTCTTATCAATTTCTATTTCCCTCTTGGAGATTTCGCCTAACTTTCTGTCTTGCGGCACATTGTCGGCGAGACAAAAAGTGAGGGGAAATCTTCCCGCTCCTAATGTGGAATCCATTTTTCTAGTGGAACTTCCAAAATTGCTTGGAATATACATCTTTACTTACATATTACATGTTTTTTTGTCTTCTAAAGGCTGTAGGATATTATTATGAAAATACTTTGGTTGTATAGATTATTATAAAGTGATTTTTGTTTTTTCAAGGGAGAGGCAGGAAGGGCAGGACAGACAGGTGAAACAGGATTCCCAGGATCTGCTGTAAGTAATTGTTACATTCAATACAATGACAAATCAATGATCATAGAAACAGTACTTTTAATTATGTAATAACAGATCAAATAGTTATTTTGTTTTGTATTTATTTTATTTAGTAGTTTACTAATTCATTTTTTTTGGTTGCCTGGAATCTCTGTTTAATTGACAGCAAAAAAATGTACCTACTCCCCCAAAATGTTATTTTCATATTCACCGAACAGTAATGTTGCACGGGACGTTTGGAGTGGGGGTCAACTTTATGATGGAATATATTGTATCACTTTTACTATGCAACATTCAAATATAATGTAATATTTGGTATGGATCTTTGACACTTTTGTATATTGATTTATATATTTATGTATATATTTATTTAAATATTTAATGAATAATGCTAATAAAACTGTTTTAGAAAGAATAACATGTAATTTATGTTAGCTGGCCTAAACATTATCTGGCAATTTGTTTTAGGGAGCCAGAGGATTTCCTGGTGCTCCTGGACTACCTGGACTAAAAGGACACAGAGTAAGAAAATGTTAATGATACATACGGCTTAACTATGTCCAACACTGACTATTATTTTTTAAAAATTGGGATTTTTGGTTTTTTTGGAAACAACAGTTTGCTCTTTCCTACGAAAGCATCTTCTGAGTGCTCAACCCAACCCAAACATTAAATGCCAGTTTTCTGGATTCAAAATCATGCTGTATTATATTTAGCACTTTTATGAGAATTGGTATCTTTATGAGGATTGCTAATACAGTAAACTCCCCATTATCTGGCGTTCAAGCAACTGACACAACCAGCAAAAAGGAATTGAGGACATAGTATCAGTTATCCCGCATCTACCGATTTCTGTGGGTATTGGATAACTGGGAGTTTAGGGTATTATTGAGAAGAGTATAGGTTAGAGTAAACCCAATACTGTTACAGTTTAGCATGGGGCATTTTATAAAAAAAAATGGCCTTCATGTCCTAGCCTCTAACCTTAATCTGGCTCTAAAAATTTACTTCTACCTGAAGCCTAGAAAACACTTAGAAAAATACCCAAGAATAAAGGGTTTCTAAACCCTCTGGTTTTTTTTGAATATATCTACTGCTAGTAACAACAACAAAAAAACAGCTTTAACAGCGGTTTAAATTTACCCCGTCTTTGCCGCGCGCTCCCATCCAAGAATCCGAAACTGCTCGGGCGCCCGCAAAGCATCTTGGGGTGGGCGCATGCGCATTTCGGATTTTCGTCCAGGAGACGGGGAAAGACACAAGGTAAGTCTATGGACAGCGTGCACCCGCATGCAGACCCCGTGGGATCGGAAGTGCCAGCAAGGACAGAGGAGTCAGCGCTGGATCGGACACCCGCCGCAGTGCTGGAGAGAAGGCTGAAAAGGACAGGAAAGAAGAAGAAGATCGCATTAAGAGACATCATTTAAGGTAAGTGCTGACATAAACATTGGGGGAGGGAACATTTTTTGACTTTAATGTCACTTTAACCCTTCACATGTAACCTTTTCCAAAACACGTAACACTTTATCCTTAATTTTACCCTGAAACATATGCACACCCTGTTAACCTTAATCCTATCCTAAAAGGAATCCTTAATCCTTAACCGAAGGCAGCCAAGTGAATAACTGAGCCAAAGTGAAGTGAACCGAATGCTGTTTGGCAATTCACTGCAGCCTTGTACGGCTGACTTCAGCCATACATCGGGCTAAAATCAGCCATACATCGGCTGCCTTTGGACATCTGGATCAGCTGAGCCAAAGCTCCAGCAGCTCACGCTCTGCCGTTTGCCCCTATTCACATAGGGACCGAACGGCAGTGAGTAAATAATCTCTGTGGTACCGAGCAGAATAGAATATAGTGAAAATAGTAGGAAAGAAACAAAGTTAAATTATTTTTTTTAAAAATAAATTGTGAAATTAAGATATTTAAAAAAAGGGGGGGATGGGCGGAGCTAGCAGCGACTGCTACCCCCGCCCAACTCTTTCCTATTGGTCGTCTGATCTGTCATTACAACTGGGTGGAGCGAGCCGTGAGATCACGCCTGGCTCCGCCCATCTGTCATTTGCGCCCTGCTTTGGCTGCCACATCGGCTCGCCTGAGCTGCTCGGCCGCGGTTTGGCTATAGTGAATAGCCCGTACAGCAGCCCTTCGGTTCAACTAAACCGAAGGGCTCCGGTGGCCGAAGAGAGCCAAAGGATCAGCCAAAGCTACGGCTGGATCCTTTAGCTCCTTCGTGAATAACCCCCTTAGTGTAATACCTGAAGGGAAAAACTGTGCTTTTTATAACTATTATTTATGATTCTGTACACTAATCATAAAAAATGCTTACTGCAATTACATGTTTATTAATATGATATTGTAGGATATGTGTGGATAGAGTGGCACATACCATATTCAATAAAATAGTTGAATGGGGCACTGACAGGCTTTGATAAAACCTAAGCGTGCCACCTTCTGCTGCTCTATTATGTTAAAGTATATTTATTTTTATATAACTATTATAATCTATTGTTTGATGTATTTATGGTTATATTGGTAGTTGTCATTGATAATAATGTATTGTCTACTTCAAGGGTCATAAAGGTTTGGATGGTCCAAAAGGAGAAATTGGAGCAGCTGGATCAAAGGTAATTAGGTCATTTTAAGTGCAAATGGTTGTCATAGGCTAAAGTTTTATTATTACTATGTTTTTTAGCTTTAATGTTGGTGTGAATACAGTCAGTTAAACAAGCAATACCTCTCTCCTGCTCTCTGTTCAAATTGTATCCATACCCAATTTTTTTTCTTGGCTTTGGATATAGGAAGAATTTGAACTCCTGTTAGATTTTCTTGCATTGGAGAGATTTCTTCACTTGCTGTCTGGTAAAAAAGTTGTTCTTAGGTGTGGAAGTGAGGTGAATTTTCTCTACCAACAACAAAGGCAAAAGTAAAATAGCATATTTTTAAATTTAGTAGGGGAATGCTAACAACCTTGTCAGCGTTTAATTGTTGGTTTCCCTGGTGCAGATTTTCACTCTTTCACACCATTTCTGGTCTGGTAAAAGGGTGTCCCCATCACAAATTGGGGGGGAATGTATCCAGATATCAGTACATCCTGACAGGGGATCTAACCTTTACCAATCCTAACCAAATGTAAAAAAAAATTGAGGTATAGATACACTTTAAAGTGCACTCTATATCATGGCTACATAGGAAACACTTTTTCCCATTTTAACTTAATATAAATTACAAAGCAGAGTGGCACACACATGTTTGGAACTTGATTTGTTGGAGTGTGTTTGGTGCAATATCTGAGCAGCCTGCATAAAGATTGCTCTTCCCTCTTGTGAGACTTGGGACTCATGTCACATGACCAGGAAGAGTGGGCTGTTTTACCAAATTAGCCCACAGATGTAGGATGGACTGTAAATAGCAGAAAACAATAGGAGGGCAAGCATCTTCTCATCAGAATGTAACCAATTAATATGTTTTCACATTTTACGTGTTACAAAACATAGGAAGTAATTATAGAAGATTATACTGTAATAATGCATTTTTTTTTAAATAAGAGGGTCAATTTAGTAATGTGATCCCCACTGTACTTAAAGGGAATGCAAACCCCTAACAATGATTTTCCCTTATTTGCACCATTTTGGTCTGTTTAAATATTTGCTTCATACAAAAAAATTATCCCGTCAGAAATTCAGAGCTGTCCTCTGTTATCTGAACACTTTCTGTGTTGCCTGAAAAAAAACTATTTAGTCCTCCTAATTCTTACCTCGGACTACAGAATGATCAGGCTTTATTTTGTAAAGATCTGAGAGTGGTAGTGGTTAAGTAAAAGACAGTAAAAGACACTGGGAGGGCTGACACCACTGCCTAGGTTTTTATTTTTTTTGCCTTGGCATACTCTTTAAGGTTCCCTTGCTACTTTGCACTCTTTTTTTAAGTGTTTACCAACGGGCAACCAATGCCATGATTTCTTCCTACACTGTCTGTTTTTACATTGTAAAATATTACTAGCCTATTATATATTTTGTATGTAATATTTAATTAATGAAAATAGAAATAAGTTTGGCTGCAATCTAAATTATTATTATTATTAGTAGTAGTAGTAGTATATTTCATGTTATTTTAACTCTTTCGTTGTAGGGAGAATCGGGTCCTACTGGTCCAATGGGTACAAACGGCCCTCCGGTAAGTCAACATCTTGTATGAAAGCCAATTAAATTTACAGCTTCATCTATTATTCTTTATGCTTTAACTTAAGTGTGAAAGGTACAGTTTGACTGCACTAAAAGCCGTAATATTATGGGTAGTTTTTAATCTCTGTTCTACAGCAAAAATATTCTTAACTCTTGGACTCTTCCAAACTTTGTAGTATTACAGCTTGGATTTTATAACACTAGTCTACACAAAATAGTCTATAATGCTGAACTCAAAAAGAAAAAATTGACAACGCTTTTCAAATTATTTGGAAATATAAAACTGAAATATATTGATTGAATAAATTTTCACCTTCTTTGCTATAAAGCCCGAAGCCCATAAATAAGTTATGGTACATCCAGAAGCCTTCAGAAGTCACATAACTGGTTATATTGAAGCTAACAACACAAGCTAGGATACAGTTCAGACGAAGCACCATTAAGGCATAGTTTATAAAATATATCCCAAACTTTGAAAATCCCTGAGAGAACCATGAAATCCAGTACTTGGAAACAATATAACACAACGGTGACTCTGCCTAGAGGTGAATACCTACCAGGTGAAGTGGGTATAAGATAAAACAGTATAGACTGTAAGCTCGTTTGGGCAGGTTCCTCCTCACCTACTGTTTCTGTATGTCAATGATGCTTGTCAGTGTTTCTTACTTATCTTGTCTAAACGATTGTACAGCGCTGCAGAATATTTTGGCGCTATATAAATAATTGTAAATGTAAACAAGAGCCAAATAGTAACTTTGAAGGAGCTGCAGAGATCCCCAGCTGAGAAGGGAGAACCCATCCATGGGAAGACAAGAAAATTCTGGAAATACCCATATTTATACATTTAAGCCATGTTTGGTAATCGAATACACAGGAAACACGCAGAAAAAGTGCTTTCCAGAGCAGAGGGGGAGAGAGGTGAGCAGTCACCACCATGGGACTAAGTATATCTTTTTTTATTTAAGACCCTAGACCAAATTGAGCAGGTAATCCTTGCAGTGCAGGGAGTACACACCCAGAGTTCTTCTTTAAGCATGTCAGCAGTAACATCATGTTGTAAGGATGCTTTTCATTAACATAAACTTGGATGCTTTTCAGGATTGAGGAAAACACAGATTAAACTATCTTCAGGCCAGTTAAAGAGCAAATTTTCTTTCAGTTTGCAAGAGATCTGAGATAGGGTTTGCTTCCCCTGACAGGCTCACATTTGGCAGGACAGTGACCTAAATCACACAGACAAAACTACACTGGAGTGATATAAAACAAAATCCCGAATGTCTTCTGAATGGCCTAGTCAATCTATGAAGAGCTTCTGGTTTGGAGTCTAATGAGATTTGAGAGATTTAATTTGGAGCCAATATCACCAATATTTTCTTATGTACCCCTAGTTAGAAATTTGAACTGTCCTTGATGTTCTTAATTTACCTGTACGCTTTAAGGTTTTTTATATTTCTTTTTATTATAAAGTTTATTTCTAAGCAAAATATTTTCTTTTCAATCATAAAGGGACCAAGAGGAATGCTTGGTGAGAGAGGACGTATTGGACCTCAAGGTACACCTGTAAGTTGCACTTAGCCTGCTTTAAGCTTTAAAACACAATTCAATAGCATATAATCCTTTACCTTGTTACACAAATAAAAGTAAATACTGTATTAATGAAGCTGTTAAAACATATTTACTTTGAATCTAAAGTTTTATAAAGTAATTCAATAAATGGATGTATCAAAAAATAAACATTAGTTTACTGTACTTAATGCTACATTTTTGAAAGCTCTGTATTTCATTTCAGGGTCAAAGAGGCGCTAATGGGCTTCCTGGAGCAGCTGGTGCTATAGTAAGTTTCAATATTATTTTACATTTTCATTCTTTTTATTGTGTATTGTCTTCAATCATCTATAATGCTCATATTTGTATGATTGAATTATTATTTATTGCAAATAAATTGGGTCTAGCCAAAGGAATTGGGTATCCTGAAATGCATACACCCTAATGATATATAAACACAAAAGAAAATATTTATAAAGCAGTGTATTTTACATTTACTAAACATTCACTGCATGTGAACTAGTCATTGTAATTTTAAACAGACGCCAGGAAGATACACCTGCAGTAAATATCAGTAAATGTTTGGTATATGTCAAATTACCCCCAAATAGTAATATATTGAGCCAAACATGTACTTGTAAATAAACATGTATGCCATCACCTACTAAGTCCCATTCATAAAGTGGTGCACTGATCTGAATTTTAGTTACTAAATGCATCTCAGTGGAAAAATATCAGACTTTTTAATATTCTTCCAGTCTTTCTGAAATGAATATAGCTTAAACTGTATGCTATAAATGTCAAAAACAATTGTTAAATGTTTTTAGAAAACAAATGCATTTTCCTGTTTTTTTCAATAGGGCCCCTTAGGCTTAAGTGGTGCATCAGGATTTCCTGGCATCCCTGGAATGAAGGTAATAATATTTTATATGTTATTCATTCGGTAGATATTATCCAGTAGAATTGAATTAAAAAAATAACAGCACAAAATGGGCATGCTAACATCTCCAGTTTGTCAATTCAGATAAGTCTATTGCACAAAGATATCCATGCTTTGCAGATATCACAATCCTAAATCACAGTAGTATTTCATCTAGTATAGCACAACAATCAACTAGGACTATACTTCTGAAACAGGAGCTCTTTCCCTGTGGGTCAGCTCACCTGCACCTTTTTTCTTCAGTAAAATAACTTATCAGACCTACACAGAGTAACTCTGGAGATAAGTATTTAGTAGATATGTGATTATATACACACTTGTGGCATATTTTAAAACAGCAGCAGTTACTGTATTGTTCTATGCACATAAAGCCGATTTATAAAAATAAACTACATATCTTCTTTAAGCTCACAGCACACACACCTGACTGTGCAATCTTCTTTCGATCTACTAACAACTCTGTAGTGGGTGGTCCTATCTGGGAAAATGTAATATATTTGATAGACTCTCATAATACATAGTTGAATTACCCAATGGGTTCCTTTATCTTTTAGAGGCTCCAATAGTTTTTGTCTCTACCTTCACCCATAACTAGAAAATAAGGCTGCACTATGGTGCAGTTGGATTGCTAAGTTATTTTTTGTACATTGCAGACCATACCTCAGAGCTGTGATACACCATAATCTATTCTGTATATTATTTTGCCTGGATTTGGCCTATAAAAAGATTCTTGAAAATATAACTATCTTTAATTAAATAACTTAAACAAAGTGTATGTTAAGCCCAATTTTTTTTAACCTAGTTTTGAATGGAGTGGGAAAGGGTAGAACCCCTCTTGGGTTTTTGATGACATCTGAGGCTCTGTTAGAGAACAAAACACAGAGAGCGCCTCCATCACGTAAAAATTATTAAAATAAATTTAGACAGATGCAAACATACTCACAAAGGTCGAGTTAAAAAGGCATGAAACGATATGAACACGAAGGACTTAGCCAACCGGCTGTTCGTCCTCCCTGATGGTTTACACGTTTCCGAGGTCACGCCTCCGAGTTTTTACGCGATGGAGGCGCTCTCTGTGTTTTTGTTTTCCAGAGTTGAGGTTTCCCTAAAGCCTATTTGAGAGCCAGCCTCGTAAGCGTTCTATACTACGATCACTGCAGATTGTCTCCTTTTCTGGACTTAAGCCGTTGGCGCTGTGTTATATACTGTTTGTTGCCTCTGTTAGAGAGCTTTATCCCCACTTCCTGTGCTGCTCACAATGTTTTACCAGAATTCTCCAACACAGGCAAAAGGAAAAATTGTTGGTCTGCAACCACTGGAAAATGCAGCCGGAGGTATGAGATTTATCTTGGTGCTGCAGACGGAGTCTATGAACTAGATGAAGGTAGAAACTCTAGTGGTATGATCCTGACAGAGTCTATGTGAGATAGCAGTCCACTTTTATTCACACATAATGGACTGTGACCACTTTATGAAGGCTAGGTTAGGCCTAAAGTCAATTTAGCTTTAACTCATCCTAGTGCAACCTAGATAGAGCCAGATTGCTATAACAAACTGAGTATTGGTAAATGTGGGGCAAGGAGATGTAAGTGAAAGGCATGCACGGCAATTCAAAATACTGTTGAGCTTTGGCTTTTTAATATGAAGATTATGGGAACATTTACAAGTAGCTATAAATCAGACAGTCGAAAAAGACGCTGTATGCATTTAATGTGCTTATTCACTATATTAAAGAGTTTTAATTTAAACCAATAAAAGCATAATGAGGATCTAGTTAACCTGGTTTGGCACACAAGCACGTGACAAAAACTGACTACAGAAAGTTAATCATTTGGGACCTGCAGGTGCTACTTACTCACCATCATGGAGACAGCTGCAGTTGAAAATGTTACAGTTGGCAGTGGCTTGTTCTTTATATGCCACAAGATAATGAACCGCAGACTGTTTTCAACAATACGAGTTTTCATTACTATAAAGAGCATGTAATCTGCTAGTTTCTCATGCATCTTTGGCTTTATAAAATTCCCAAAAGCCTTTAAAACAAATGTAATGGAAAACATTTGGTAAATCGAATAGGAATAACATGAAATGCCCTAAGGAAACTGTTTTTTTTTTTTAAAGGGAAATTTTTTTTTAAAGGGAAGTTTCTGGTAATGTTCATAAAACCAGACATTTTACATAAGACTTTTGATTTTAGAGAACACAAAACAAATATTTTATTTTATGTTTGTTACATAGTTTAGCCATCCCTGATTTGATTGATTGATTAGTATCCTGCAAAGGAAACATTGCACTATAAAGTCCAGTCCTTACTCGTGCATCAAATGCTTTAAGGTGGACTTGCTGTTCTGAAAATATCTGTATCATAGATACCTACAGTGCTCCATGCTTGTTACACAAGGTCTTCTCTTGCACACATATTTACTTATTGCAGTTGGTGAGCAGGTGTGATGCACCTTAAGAGCACTGCATGAAAACTTTCACTTATCAGCATTATGGTTGAGAGCTATAGAGATTAGTTAGAAAGCTTCAGGATCTACAGTCTTAATGTGCACTTGGTCCTATAGCAGCTCATTTAACAGCTAGCAGGTGGCCAGCACTATTGAGATGTTCATAAAACTCGCAGCATGATGAAGCTAAGCTTCTACTGGGCAAGTAAAGGTACCAGGCTAGATGGGACATGATACACTAGACAAAGAGAAATAAACATATACAAAGCTAGAGTAAAGCTTGACAATCATGGGATGGGAAACACAGGAACTCTAATGGCTGTAGGACTGGATAGGCATATGGAGTTGTACACAAAGGACATATGAGTTCAGCAGAGAGGCTAGAAGGCATGATATTCTGGGAGCACATGCAAATACCAGAATAGAATACAGGACTAGAAATCCAAAGCCAAACACAATGGCCTGAACTTGGTCAAAGAAAGAAACCGAATTTCAAAAAGACATGGCGTGGGAAGGATGCAGACAGTTGTAAAAAAAAAAAGGAGAGGGAAAAGGCATGGGGTGTGCATGGGGTTTTAAATGTGCTTTGAAGTCACAATAGATAAACAGATGTTCAGCCAGACATAGTACTAACAACCTCCATATCCATTGTTTTACCTCTACTTTCCTGTTACAGAGATTCCTTCAGTTGTGAGACCTGATACAACATTTTTTATGTATATATGTTTTTTCTTTTAAATCAAGGGTGAAGCTGGGCCAACGGGAGCACGGGGGCCTGAAGGACCCCAAGGATCAAGAGGAGAGACTGGATCACAAGGACCAGCTGGTCAATCCGGTCTTCCTGTAAGTCTTTTTTTGTTAAGTATGTAACAAGTTGTAATACTGAACTGTGCATATTAAATTGCCATCACTAATATGCCATAGTAATAATAAAAAAATGTCATAGTTAAACAGGCAAATAATCCTATTGTAGGCAGAATTTTTACTAAAGTATGTGTTTGCAGGGTGTTGCCGGAACTGATGGCACGGGTGGTTCTAAAGGACCAACTGTAAGTAATTTGTATGCAGTAGTTCAATTACGTTTGTTGGTGAATTATGGGTTAATGTTTTGTCTATTAAAATTTGGATGTTTCTGGTTGTAGGGGGGCCCTGGTGTTGCAGGTTCTCCTGGCCTTATTGGACCACCTGGATCTCCTGGACCTCAAGGAAGTACTGGAGCACCTGGTATTCGTGGCTCAGCGGTAAATATATTAAACAAACTATCATATAATGAAGTTGCCATAGAAGTCAACACAACATCCATACAACACAAAGTATTTTGTCTGATGTGATTTCGAATAGATGCACTGAACTGACAGGTTAGGTATTTCACAGTAATATTAATTCATTAAAGACTATCATTAAAGTTCATCTTTCTGACAAATTAATAAAAAAGAGATGCAACATATGCAGCTTAGTGACTCAACCTCAACTTAAATTAAAGTATGGCTTGTAATAAAAAGGTCAGAGAAGCAGGAAAATACGTTTTTAAAAGGAATTCTGCCATTCAGGAATTTGAACTGAAAACTTTTTCAATTTTCCATAAAAATACAAGAATATTTTAATTCACCTCTGGTATATTGTAGAATACATTAGACATAATACTATTTAAAGTTATTTTAAATACCTTGTTATAACATATTGAAAGTTTATCAAAATGATTTAAAACAAGTTACTAAGCAAAGCATCTACCAGTAAGTAAACCTTGTTTATCCCATAGATAAGATAGGTGTTGGCAAGCCAGTCTCATTGGACAATGAAAATACACATGACAAACCTTGACATAAGGTTAGGGGAAGTCAGGTCTTTGTAACAAAGCAAAAGCAAATAAGCGAATGGCACAATAGAGGTTTTTCTGAGTCATAAAGGAAACAGCAGGCATCTTGTGGCCTCTACTCTTAGGAAGAACTTTTACTCCCACACTTTATTACAGGCACATGTTTACTTTAAATACAAATATGTTATCTGTTTAACTCCCAAAGCAATTTCTAACTTACTGTCTATTGAACAGGCTGTGAGGTGGCATTGGGTGTTGCTTGTATCAGTCTAGTGCAGGTGTCAAAAGCTCATGTCATTTAATGATTAGAGGAATCAGACATACTGTATGAAAACTGCATGGGTATGTTAATGTGGATTGCCACATTCACCCTTCTAATCCTTTCATATGCAAGAGTTTATCTTTTAGGTTAGACATTTGGCAGCTTGATAACCTTTCCCAAAGATTATTGTGTCTTCACATGGATTTCTTAAATCCTGTTTGTAATTCATTTGAACCTCTTTCTTTGACAATCGTATTGTTGCCTTGCTCAGTCTAACAAGGAAGAACTGAAGAAGATGGCAATCCAGATTTCCAAACCTCACAACAGACAGGATGTATTCACACCAACCTACTTGTAAAGCACCCTCACAAACAGAATGTAATTGTACTTTTTTGGGGCATATCAATGACATTTTGAGGTCAAAAACACATAGGATACGTAAACAAGAAAAATATGCAATGTTTTATAAAAGAGAAACTGTAACAGCTTGATGATTCCAAGTGTCAAGGGATATGTTTTACTTTATGAATCTACGCAGACTTCTTCATTATAATCTTACATAAGGATCAGTGTGGCGTCTAACTTCCATCTGTTTTATGTGTGGTCCTTTGGGTCATCATGATCTATGGCCCTTGTCCAGTTTCTTAATTTTTTTCCTCTGTAGCTTTTCTTTCTCATACATTGAATAATTGGTACAAAGAAACACATGGATTGTTAATTTTTTTTTAAAGGGTGATCCTGGTGTACCTGGTTTTAAAGGTGAAGGTGGTCCCAAAGGTGAACCTGTAAGTAAATATGTTTATTACATTGTATTGCTATCATTTATTTAATATGTAAGTGGAAGTTTGTGAAACAATTATTATAAAAAATAAAGTTTTTCTCTCGGGATTATATTTTAGTAATAGTCTGTGCTACTTATTTAGGGTCCCCATGGCCCACAAGGCGCAATTGGTCCACTTGGAGAAGAAGGAAAAAGAGGTCCCCGTGGAGATCCAGGATCACTTGGGCCACCAGGCCCAGTTGGGGAAAGGGTATGAAAGATCGTTAATGCATCTTAACACAATATTCTAAACTAAAAAATCATTTTAAAAAAGTGGCTAAAATATTTAATTTTGTGACATTGTATGGAACTGAACAAGATGCTTGATTTGCAAGCATCTATTTATGTGCTACGGACAGCTAGGGTTTTACTTTTCCAAATGAAATGTAATTTGTTTCATGCTTCTGAAATGTATTTTCTTTAGCACAAATTCATAGGGGGAAATTGATCAATGTTGTCACATCTTGTGCGTCTTTAAACTGTTGCACCCCTGATTTCTAGTGCACATAGCGACAGATTATTATTATTTTATATTAATTTATGTTTTACTCCTAAATGCTTTCATAGGGAGAATGGTCTCAAAACTGTCTCAGTGTGGTGCTCAGCTGACTTGAGTGTATGAGCGCTCTGTAGGATAGTTTAAAAAGTGTTCAGGAGCACTTCTGTGCATCTGTTTTTAGGTCTTTTACTGTCGCAAATGCTGGACACAAATATTGCACAGTTGAGATATAATGCAAACTGCCGCAAAACATGTGCAGTGAGTAGCAGACCCTTAAAAAAAGATGCATAACAGAGATAAAATTCTACGGTTAGTAAATATTTTGATCTTTGCGCCTAAATATGTTGTCACAAAAAAAACACCTTTGTTTAATAAAGTGGAGAAAGGTTAGAGGCTCTGTTTTTATTCTATTTTAAAGGTTTCTATTTTGGAGATTTGTATCTCCAAAATATATTTGGATATTTGACTTGTATGTCAAGAGTGTTGCAAAATTTCTCCCGGACAAGAAGTAAGGAGAAATCTTCAGCAAACAAATCTGATTGTAGGTAGCTCTTCCTTATTTTAGGCAAGTAGTCTCTCAACTACGTAATCACAATACTAATAAAGTATTTATTTGGTTAGTTTGTTTAGTCTATTATACTATACAGTAAATGGTGCCATGCAGGTTTGTTGTGTCAGTTATTGAGATCTGAAGTATAAAAATGCTACCTTCACAGTGTTTGTGTTGTTTTTAACATATATAATTTACCCTTCTGATATTTCTATTAGGGTGCTCCGGGTAATCGAGGTTTCCCTGGATCTGATGGTTTACCTGGACCTAAGGTAAACAAGACTTGGTTTTATTATGCTTTCAATTCACCTGTCATAGAAGAAACACCACAAATATTTGGCTTCTTTACATATTCCTTCTTGAATTTTACCTTTTGTTAATGGAAATGTTACATTTAAAAATCTTTTTTTCCATGGAATTCTGAGGAACATTTAAATTTTACATTGTTATAATTCACAGGTGCTCTAAAACTGAAGGTCTGTCCATTTTAAAGTGTTACTTTAGTTATAGGTGGGAGAGGCCTGGGGGGATGAGTCAGCCCCTGGCCTTTTATTTGTCTTGGTTACTTCAACATCAATTTCCCTGCCATAATTACCAACTAAATGACAATTGTGTTCCTGCCCACCTCGGAGTTATGAGTGCTACCAGTTGTCTTTGCATGTACTTGCACCTCCCATTGGCTTCTCCGTGTTTTAATATACATTAAGTCCGACAGGTAGAGAGGAACCCTTCTTCCGCAACTAGAAAGTCCACAGGAGATCTGGTGGTTTAACTCTCCAGCTTGTAAGAAAAATAGCAATATCAGTTTTGCTGGACTGCACCTTTAATGTTAAAGTGATTGGTCTGTTGCTGTTAATAGCCAGTCTTTTACTCTGTGATGAGTTACATAGCAAGTAAAAAAAAAAGACGCAGGTCTATCCAGTATAAGCTATGTGTGTATGTATATGCGAGATTCTCTACCAATCCCCATAGCCCTGTATACTATGCTCCCTGAGAAACACACTTAAACATTTGTTGAAACTGTCAACACTCTTGGCCAGTACCACTACCTAAGGAAGGAATATACACTTTTTCACTGCTGTAAAAGTAAAGAATCCCTTCCCCAATCTAAGGTTAAACCTCCTCTCTTCCAATCTTAAATTGTGGCCACATGTCTTCTCAGGGACCTTAGAGTAAACAGTTTATTGCAATTACTAAAGTCCAGTTTGATATAATTGTATAATCATAGAAAGGTTTAATATCTGAATGATATGCAGGTGCAGACTTGGCCGATCAGTTGCACACAGCGGTTGCCACGCGGCCCCATTGATTTCAATGGGGTTTTATCCGGGCAGCAATTGCTGAAAAAGGTACCTTTTTTTGCTACACACACCGCACGGTTTTTCAACTGCAATCGTTTGTGATTGCATGGGCAGAACCGCAGCAGGAAACCGTGTGATTTGCCTGGCGCGACTGGGGTGCCATTAGAAAATAATGGCACCACCAGCGCAATCAGAGGTGGTGTGCGACTCCGTGACGTGGTTTCGTGCACGATTGCTGCACGGTCACGAATCGTCCAGGTGTGAACCTGGCCTAATTTGCCATTAATTGATTTATGTAGTAAAGAGTTATCATACTTCTGTTCCAATGTTTACTGCTGTAACCTATGGCAGCCATCAGAATACATTTTGCTAAAGTAAGACCAATAAAAGATATATTCTAATTGGTTGCTCTTTACAGACCCTAACAATTACAATATTTATTTTTTTATTCCAAAAATGTATATTCATTTATACATTTTAAATACGAATTGTAAACACTGGAGAACAAATTATGGTATATGTACTATTATTATTAACCTGAAGTTTATACGTTTCAGTTTTTATGCAGTCCATTTTATTTTGTTTTTTCAGGGAGCTCAAGGTGAACGTGGAGTTGCAGGAGTCTCAGGACCTAAAGGAGCTAATGGGGATCCTGGTCGTCTTGGAGAGCCTGGACTTCCTGGTGCCAGAGTAAGTTTCATGCCATAAAATTCCCCCTACCTATATTCAACAAACACAATAGGAGGTAGTGAGAAAAGACACAGCTGCTGTACGTACCATGTGCCATTTGGTAGGGTCACCATACGCAGTACGTTTTTTAAAAATTGATGCACCTAAATTAAAGCGTCACTTCACATGGTTACGTGAGAATTAAGCTGTGCAGGGCTGGCTGCGGTGAGGGACACGTTATTGGTGGACAACACTCTCTCTCTCTCACTCATTCCTTTTTCTAAGGAGTAAAGAAAACACATATTTCACAGCATGTGTACTGCCAGCACCTGTCAGCTGAGCTTGGCATGACAGTAGAGCAGTACTACTGGGTTGGTGATGCATAAAAGAATGGCCAAATGTCATAACTCTATCTAGCCTTACTGTTTAGGTATACATGTAAAGTGGTATATAGGTGAACTGTTTTTGGGAGAAGGGTGGTTAAAGAAAAAGGTGTAAAAAAAATAAAGTGAACCCAGATAGCATCTCGGATAAGACCCTTAGTATTTAGCAACTTAATGCCAAAAGTTCAATTGGAGTAGTGTTTAAATTGTTATTGTTTAATTGTTATAGTTTGATATTTTTAATGTCTGATGTTATACATATCCACCATACTGTTCACTGTTTCAAGGAAAATTATACTTGTCTTTGGAACATTTTCTTTTAACTTTGTTTTTGAAGATTTACAAATTTACAAAATGACCTTTAATATAATTTCAATTATATGTATAACATGTTTGACAAATAAACATGCATTACAGGGTGCACTCATGGCATTTAGTTTGCAAAACATGTTGGGATTTTTAATAAGAAATACCTAAACTGCTTGCTTGCTTTATGGCACTAGAATTCACTAGTAGACATTGGCATCCAAAAAATGGAAGTATATCTGCTGTTGAAATCTGTGTTTAGTACAGTTGCTTTCTCTGAGAACTCAAAAAACATTGGCATATGGCATATAGCCCCACCTGCTGGCTGCTGATGGGAAATGTGAAATATTAATTTGCAGTATTTTATATTTACCTGATTAAATCTAAATAAAAATGGTATTTACGCAGTACTTTACATACATAGTTGCACATTCACATCAGTCCCTACCCTCAAGGAGCTTACCAATCTAAGGACCCTATCACTGCCACAGGCGGTGATTTCAGCAAATAATGTGGAATTGTTCAAGAAACTTTTGGACGATTTCTTAAGGGACCGTAATATACAGGGGTACGGGTACTCCTAGAATGAGATCCTAATAGGTTGGACTTGATGGACTAATGTCTTTATTCAACCTCAAATACTATGTAACTATGTAATTATCTCACATGCATACATAGAGGGCCAACTTATAGGAGCCAATTAACCTACCAGCATGTCTTTGGAGTGTGGGAGGAAACCAGAGTACCCGGAGGAAACCCACGCAAGCACAGGGAGAACATGCAAACTCCTTGCAGATGGTGGCCAGATCATTAATAAAAGTTTCTAAGACTTACTTTTCAAATTGCACCTAGGTGGTCTTTCATTTTCTTGTTACATTGGGACGAGTTTAGCCTTGAGTACATCTGACTAGAACCTTTTTTTAATGTTTTATTATGTTTTATTATATTCCTTCCTTGCATAGTGAAGTAGTTCTCAATATGTTTATAATGAAAAGCATTCTCTTTATTTTGCCATCTTGTTGTACAGTATATTTTCAAATAGAGATGCACATCTGGAAAACCACATTGCTAGTATATGACCATATCTTTCATTAACCAGGGTCTGACTGGAAATCCTGGAGTCCAAGGTCCAGAGGGCAAACTAGGTCCAGTGGTAAGTCAATTATTGGTAATACAATATACTGTATGCATCATACAAAAGAAACCAAATAATAATGTATTAACGTATAAGAATTTATAAAACCAAATTTAGGTAATGCTCAGTTTGCATGATGGACATTAAGGATATTGTTACTTTATACTTTGTTGAGAATACCTTGAATAAAAAAGAAAGTTGTCTAGTAGTTGTCATTGACAATAGAGAAGTTGGTTATAAGAAGAGGTTATGGTCACAATTTCATCCTATTTTTTTCAGATTTCTTAGTCATCAATGTACTGTACATGTGTCATGTCATCGTACATTGCAACCAAGAAAATCTTGTTTCCTCATTTACCAAAATTAACCAGGCTATATAGTTTACTTGCTGAGGTCACATTCATTATGCTTCTTGGAATTTGTTTTTGAAAATGTAGTTAGGTTAAGTGAGTTAAATGAGTTACATTCATTTTAGGTTAAGAGCTAAGTATTAGGTCATACTAAGTCAGTTTTAGGACCAGGATTAGTGTTTAGGTTATGCGTTAAATGTGAGTTAAGTCTATGGGTTAAGTATTAAAGAACTTCAGAGCCGGCCGGCTGTCACAGCACTCCTCCCTGCCTCTCTCATCCTATGCTGCAGTGATGGTATGTCCCTCAGCATCTTTGCATCTTATACACAGTGTATAGAATTTGATCACTCAAGGACCATAGACCGCTTAAGCGGAGGTGGAGAGCAAAAAGGAGCAGTTAGCCCTTGCAGTACAAGGTTGGCCCAATGCAAGGGTTATTAACATTTTTCCCGGAGTTCTGCTTTAAGTGTTAGGCTAAGTTTTATTAAGAGTGATAAAGAAGAACTCCAGACATAATTATTTTAACCCCTTCATGACGGGAGACGTACACTGTACGTCCAGCCACAAAGGGACCAAATGACTTGTCACGTACACTGTACGTGACGAGTTATTTGCTGCTTTAGAGGGCTGTTAACCGCTGAGAATCAGCTTGTAACATTCATTAATGGATGCCCTTACTACAGAGGCATTCATTAATGAAAGGGTTAACCTTTTTCAGACACCCGATACCTTAATATCGGGTGTCTGAGAGTCAAAGCAGAGCGGACACACATGCCGGCTTTTGCCGGCATTCTGACAGCTCATATAGATCGAGAGAGATATCTCTCTCAAGCTATACTGGCTTTTTTTTTTCTTTCATGAATAGATACATAATGTGTCTATTCCTATAATGTATCTATTCCTGAAAGAAGAATGTTTGTTTGCTGATCGTTGTTGCAACAATCAGAAAACCTTTAGTGACAGCTGAATCCTGAACTGCTGCAGGATCAGTGTCACTAACTTATTATCGGCTGTTCTGAAGTTTGAAGCAGCCTGATAATAACCAAAAATGTATTAATTTATCAAGCAGTAACAGTGAGATTAATTCACAATGACTGCTTGATATAATTAAATAAATAAAATAACATTTTTAAGTTTAAAAAAAAGTGAAAAGTGTAAAAAAAAAAAAAAATTGTGAAAAGTGTAAAAAAAATAAAAAAATGTGTAAAAAATAAAATAAAATAAGGGACAAATAAATGAATGTATTTATTGCATTTTTTTAAGTGTGCTGGTTTTGTAAAAAAAATACTACAAATCAAAACTGGGAAAAAAGTGTTTTTTTTAAACGGTTTTTTCCTCTTTTTTTATATTTTATTTGTCCTAAGTGAGGCGTTAGACGCACATATGTGATATAAATATGTAGCCCTATCTGTCCTCTAAAAAACAATATATAATATGTGTGGGTGCACTTTGTAAGAAAGTATATTACTGACGTGGAAGAATCACACAGCAAAAATGTCAAAAGTGTGTCAGTCATTTACGAACAGAAACTAAAAACAAGCTCAGTCATGAAGGGGTTAAAACTATAGTTTCAATACAAATTAGTAAACTAAACATGAAATATTTTTTCATCATGGGAGTGAGCTTGGAGTGGTGGCTACTTCACAGTGACCATGGGGAACAAAAGTAGCCACCCTCCAGGTTTGGAAGGATAGTGTCGGCACCAATTCAGAGATGATTTGAGGATCTACAGCTGAGTGATACACAAATAAGATACATTTTTGGTAATAGTTAAGATTTAACTCCTGAGTATAGTGTCACTTTAAGGTTTAGGGTAAACAGTTAGAATATGAATTAAAGCAGAACTAAGGATCTTTATTGCAGAAGAACTGAGCCGAATGCCGTTCGGCGTCAATCGGCTATTCACTCACTGCTATGAAAATAGGAGCGTATGGCAGAGAGTGAACTGCCGGAGGTTCTGCTCAGCCGATCCAGATGGCTGAGTCAAATGTGTTCTTCACTTCGGCTCAGCCGAACATGCTGAGCATGTACGGCTGATTTTAGCCAATGTACAGCTGATTTAAGCCAATGTACGTCTGAAATCAGCCACACAGGGCCGAAGTGAATAGCCGAATGGCATTCCCCCTTGATCTTTGGATGAATGCTGCGCAGAGGAGTTACTTTATCCTGCACTGGCCAATCAGGATGGTTGACGACCTGCCACCTGGGAACATTTGGGAAGAAGATGTCGGCATTGGTGAGGGAGCTTGCAGACGTTGCATCACTGGAGCAGGGGTGAATATTTGTGGCTTTAGTTCCACATTAGGCATTAGGTGAGTTAGGAGGAAGGTAAAGCCTATATCTTGGAAAAAAGTCAGTTTTAAGAAATAATTATATTATGGACAGCCATTAATGACTCAGTATATAAGAAGGGTCAGAGATATTTGAGGCATGCCCTTTATTGGAGAGCACTACTAAACAAAAATGCTTGTTATCTCTATAATTACATCATTAAGTAAATGAGTGTAAACATTCCATGTACAGCACACCTAAAGTATCTGTGGAGTCTTTCACAGACTTCAGCCTCATGTTGTTTTCAGACTAAAGTAATGGGACCGCTTTAAAAATAGTTATTACTCATGTTACACATTTTAGTACAAGTTTACTGGTTCATATTGAACTTATTTCACAATTTTGTCCTTGTGGGTAGAAATATGTATACAATCCTATATCTAATTATGTAAAGACTGAGATTGCAATTTTTTTTATTGTTTAAATTGAGTTTACTTATTGACTTTTTGCAGGGAGCTTCTGGAGAAGATGGTCGTCCAGGTCAACCTGGTCCAATTGGAATTCGTGGTGAAACTGGTACCATGGGGCCTGCTGGTCCAAAAGGAAACAGTGTATGAACCCAAGCTATGTAGTGAATTACGCTAACAGTATTTCATTCTTTTTTCAGTAAATTAATTAAAAGGAGATTTATGTTTCTTTAACAGGGAGATCCCGGAAAGGCAGGTGAACAAGGCCTTGCAGGAGTTCCTGGACAAAGGGTATGGTTTACATTTTTCTTACATTCTCTTTTAATGTATGGTTGCTTGTTACTTTAAAGTAGAACTCCAGAAAACTTTTTTATTAACACTTGCAGTGAGGCTACCCCTGCACTTCAAGGGTTAAGTCCTCGTTTGTGTTTAGGTTAAAAAGAAAAAGTTAGACTTACCCAAAGCTCTGAGTCGGCATCTTCTTAGACTGTTCTAGACCTGTTCTAAATGAGGACATTTTCCATACCAAATGAATAAGTTAGGTGCTAAGAAAGTTACCTTATATTGCATACAGGCAAACAAGCCTTTAAAGGGACTATGTCATTAAAGCTTCCCTAGCAAAGAATAACTTACATAATCACCTCTCCCACTGCCCACGCTGCTGATCTCTGCTTCAGTGAAGAGAAATCACTGACTGAAGAATCTATAGAATACGACATTTCGAGAAGTGTCAAATTCCTGTTCCCTGCTGTATCCTGTGGTTCGATCCATGAGCCCCTAGACTATTGTATCCTATAGTGATATAGTGATGGTGAGAAGAACCAAAGTAAAAAAAGGGGGGCCACGCACTCTACATTTTAAGAAGTGTCAGTTTCAGAACATTCTTTAGATGGCGATTTCTCTTCAGCACAGGAGGAGGGAGAGGTAAACATCAAAGTTCTTTTTTGCCCGGCAGCCTTAGCTTAGGTTTTGATTTAAGTGACAAAGTCACTTTAAAGGTTTCATTTGTTTTCATTTATAATTATTTATCTTAGTAAAGTAACTAATAAGTTGAGTAATGAGGCTAAATACCTACCTCTGTTACTATAGCAATACAACTCATTTTGAAACAATATTAATCATTTATAGCTATGCATCTTCTTATATTTATCATATTACTGGAAAGTTCACAGTAAATATATATATATATATATACCCA